GTTTATGATAATAACGACATTTGATCCATTGTGCGTAAAAAAAACAACCATTGCGATCGAAGCCAAAAACATCGTGCAGTTTACTGAGATTTTTATAACTAAACAAAACCAAATTTGTTTAATAATTATTACTATACTGTATCGTTATTATCATAAATATTTGATCCATTGTGCGTATCGTTATTATCATAAACATTTGATCCATTGTGCGTATCGTTATTATCATATACATTTGATCCATTGTGCGTATCGTTATTATCATATATAAACACTATGAAAGATGACCATGGTATGAAGATGACTTAAGCTAATCATGATAAACACTATGAAAGATGACCATGGTATGAAGATGACTTAAGCTAATCATGACATAAACACTATGAAAGATGACCATGGTATGAAGATGACTTAAGCTAATCATGACATAAACGCTCTCAGTTCCATGTATATCTGACGCTTTGAATAGTATGAAATCAGTTAATACGTTTATTTATTCGTACCCTCCCACCGTCAACAAAATTTCATCTTGATATAACAAATCTTTGATTACTATGAAATCAGTTAATAAAATTATTGTTTATACACTCTCGCTGTCAACAAAATTATATCTATATATTCACTGACCTTTTCGTTTTGATAAGCTGTGACAGCAATGAATTCGGTCTCTTTAAAGACGTATGTACGGAACGTACTGTACGGCAGCTTCAAGATGTCGTTTGCTCGTACAAGGTGAAACCTGGGTTGGTATTTGTGCATGGAGTTCAGAATAGTCTGAAAATAATAAAAGAATTCAGATTAATTTGAAATAAAATTTATTTAAGATCTCACTCAGCTGAATGATATTTAAAAAAACAAACAAAACACAAAAACAACTTTCTATATAAAATGTCACTGGTTTGAGAATCTTTCATGACATTGCTTTTGTGATTCCTGTCACAAAACAACATTCTATATAACATGCCACTGGTTTGAGAATCTTTCATGACATTGCTGTTGTGATTCCTGTCACAAAAACAACATTCTATATGAAATGTCACTGGTTTGAGAATCTTTCATGACATTGCTATTGTGATTCCTGTAAATAACAAAAACATAAAAATGAGCAGTGAAGTTCACGTAAAGGTTTTAACCAAACCTTAATCAGAAGACGAGTAAGATCTGAAACAAACCACAGTGATATGTTTTTAACTTTAAACGACGTATCGGATAGGGAAGGCTTTTTAAAATACTTATAGACCAAACGAACAAATAGGAAAAGTTTTTTTAACACAAGTATAGATGAAAAGAACGAATAGGAACTGGTTTCTTAGAATAAGCAGATATTAAATGAACGAATAGGGGACTTTTAAAATAAGCATGGAAGCTTTCTTTAAACAACTACACCTAGGTGTCATTAAACTATTTATTATTTAGAGAACCTCTCTTCCATCTCAATTTTTCAGCTTATTGTGATCGTAATTAAATATATTTTGCTTTATAGCATTTTAAAAATATATTTGTGAAATTGAACAAATGAATTTTTGTGTATAAGGAACGGCTTGGTTGCAGTAAATTAAGGTGAATTTTTTTACTGTTAAAGTCGCTCAACCAAACCATCCATTCATCTTCTATCACGTGATCCACTTTAAAAACAGGTATACATGTTTCTTTTGTGTTATCAATAAGGATTAAATTGGTATCAAACAAAAATTGGAAAAAATCAATACCCTAATTAAATGATACCAATAAGTCTTATTGAGTTTAAACCCCTTTTAGTTGTCTTAGTGACACACTTACAGCGTCATGGAGAAGCAAGCAAGTTTCCAGAAAGTGAATGTTGATTTGTTTTATCACAAATGGGCTATCTGCATTTATACATTCGTAAATTTATCGTTGACCTACAGTGGAGATTAAAGAGAATAACAGGTGTTTTCTACTGAGATCGTTTCATCTTTTAGACTCTATGTAATAATAAAATTAAACAGAGAAACTGTGAATCAAATTAAAAACGTGACTACAAATGAATTAGTGTATTGCAGAGTTTGTTAATTTAGTCTCGAGCATTTATTGTCAAAATTCGATATGTATATATAAATATATTATACACCCCTTTTTTGTCAAAAATACTTAGAGTTTTTGCACTGATCGTTGTTATCGTGGAACGAGAAAAAAATGCTTGCACACTGAATAAATAGATTATAGCCTCATCTGCAAGCAACAAAGATCACACACAAAAAAACCGGTAAAACAAACCACATTTTTCATATTCTCTATTCTAATATCGCTCAAAGCAACAGAAGCATTTACATATCTTTGTCAAATAGTTTATTTAAAGTCCGTAATAGTTTCCCACTTTTTTTCTAGTGGTTGTTAGAGAATTCAGTGTTATCTACCGTAAACAAGTATAAGAAAAGACGAACTTACTTTCATTGAACACGGTATTCGTGCATGTAGTTGTTAAGCCTTAAATATAAAGAAATAAATATTTGTACTCGTCATAAATTTCAAGTGGTTTCCGACTCAACAAACTACTATGTAATGGTACCACTTATTTTTAGATTGCATTTTATTATAGTTGTATATTAAGGTTATTAAAAGGAATGCGAGGCTTCTTCACATGTCTCATTATTACAGAAATATTTCTAATTTGGTAGAATACTTTTCAAAGTTGGGCCTACTTTGTTCTATAGCCGACATTCTTCATTTTCTATGTTTAATCTACATTCAATTTTAATAGCAGTTAAGCCTAACCTGCAGCTCATTTTAAAAGCAGTTAAGTCTAACCTGCAGCCCATTTTAATAGCAGTTAAGCCTAACCTGTAGTTCATTTTAAAAGCAGTAAAGCCTAACCTACAGCCCATTTTAATAGCAGTTAAGCCTATCCTGCAGACCATTTTAATAGCAGTAAAATTTTACCCGCAGCCCATTTTAAAAGCAGTTAAGCCTAACCTGCAGCTCATTTTAAAACCAGTTAAGCCTAACCTGCAGTCCATTCTAATAGCAGATAACTCTAAACCTGCCCATTTAATCCTTTATAATCTGTTATCAGATTACTTAGAAATAAGATAGCAACACAGCTTCAGCTATATATACCCCCCTTCAAATAGAGGTTTGCTGGTTTATTTCTAATGTGAAACGTTTCTAAAGTCGACACCAGGGAACACTAGAAAAAAGGCAGATCGAATTTAAGAAGCGCCACTATATATCTCGTGACTGAATGATCAAAACTATGTATATATGATATACAAGTAAGTTAAATACATACAACATGTTTATAGCCATAATTATGTATATATATATATATATATATGTGACAGAATAACAAATAAATACATAGATTATGAACCTTTAAAGTTTCGTCAATGCTGAATCGTAATTATAACTGTGATTACATTTCCATCAAAGTTGATTAACTCACTCACCACAGAGGTGCTTATTTATTTATTGTTTGTTTGTTTAAAGTAAAGCACAAAGCTACACAATGGGCTATCTGTGCTCTGTACACCACGGGTATCGAAACCCGGTTTCTAGCGTTGTAAGTCCGCAGACATACCGCTGTGCTACTGGGGGGCAAGAAATTCTATAAAAGAGAATTCTTGTAGACCTTATAATTATTTTGTTGAATATTGTTTTACTGAATATTTATGCCCACCTCTCTCCTCATTGGCTCAGCAGAAAGACCCTGGACATACGACGCTAAAAATTGGGTTTCGTTTGTGTAGCTTTGTGCTTAAGAAAACGTTACCAATAAATAATTTTAACATTCAGTTTGCTAACCTAACGTACTCAACCTAACATAACCCGAATGTCGTTAAAATGGGCTGTTGAACCAACAGTTTTCTTTGACATTATATCGAAGTTGTTTAATGTTTTAGTTTTGTTTCTTTCACAGAACGAGAGAGGCCAGTTTGGTATCATAATATCTCATTAATTATGTAATATTATATGTTTTTATTCGTTACCTAATAGATATATCTAAACTGTAGGTTTGTTACGGTGTGAGTGAACGACACGACAACATTTACAGTCATGCGTTACTCTCTTGTGTAATTCTAAGGCTGTATTATAAGTCCTCAAATGTCCAAGTAATCGCACTATATTACATTTGCGTTTGACAAATGTTTTAAAAACCTAGTTGTTTGACTTTAATCAAATATGGTTGAAATTTTTATGGCAATCTTATAATTTAATTCTTGATATAATTCTCATTTAAACGAACACCAAACATCCTTCCATCAATATGTTATACAATTAACAGATATCTTGTATAGCGTCGTATTTCTGCTAATTTTCCTAATTAATTGAAGGACTAAATGTTCGTGTTTCCCTTCATTATCCCCCAGTGGCTCAGCGGTAAGTTTGTAGGCTTATGATGTTAAAAATACGGTTTCGAATGCCATGTTAGGCAAAGCACAGTAATCCCGCTTTGTGCTTAATAAGAACCAAACAAACCTCTTTATTAACTGAAATATAAAAATTATTCATATTTTATTCTGAAACTTTAAGAAATAATCAGTCACTTAAAATAACGTTTTCAAAACAGTTAAACAAATTTAATTGAATATCAATTTAACAAACGCTTCATTATAAAATAAATGAACTTTACTAGATGCTAAGCCTAAGTAAAAATACCAGTATGTAAACATTTACTATATAGTCGAAACAAGATAAATTGTGTTGTTTCTTGTTTGCGAAAGTATTAGCTGTAAATGTTGTTAGTCACTAACATGTTCGTTAAATCAGGAAATCCGAAAGAAAGATTATATCAATCGCTGTATAAATATAACAAATTTCCAAAGCTGCTGTCTAAACAAACTCATTTTCTTATTATACAGCACTTAGGAGAATATGATAAATAAACGTTGTAAAAATTAATGTTTAAATAAAACAGTATCGTAAAATGAGCAATATGAAACGTTCGATTTCAAGATAAAAATTTATAGGATAAATCGACTGCCAGTTTAAAAATAAAAATAGTTGGGAAGAGGGAGTATTTCTCTTATCATATACAATTGGTATATTATAATCCCTCAGATATGTAGTTAGTCACACTAAGCTGTCCATCACGCATATTACTACTACTGTGATTTGATTGCGTTAAGCCTTACTGAAGTAACAAACTACGAGATATCCGATGTAGCTAGCCTTAGGAAAAATGAACACAATAACTAGGCCTTACACGTACCTTACCATAATAAACACATTGGACGCCATGTCTTATTATCTGGTATTCTATTATTAGGTAAAGTTTTGATGAAACCGTAATTCTCACAAATTCGGTCTTGAGCTATTATAATACACAAACAGTTGTTATGGTAGATCAATATGTAAAGCCTAAAGTAGCCTCCTACAGAGCCTCACGTTTTCATGATAACAATAGATTATCGACTCTCCATTACAGAAAATCATAGCTATCGTCAAATAATAATACACCAGCAGACTGGGGTTTTATTCGAATATAGAGATACAGGTCAAGTTGAGATTCTGTACAAGTTAAGTTGAGAACTAGGAATCCAGTTTACTCAAAAACTATGGACTTAGATCAAACTGACCACTAAGATGAGGTCACTTTACAAACTAACAAAGGAAGCGGAAGCAGTAAAGAATGAGAATCAGTAGTCATGAGGTGGTAAGATCTTTGTGATAAAAGGCTATATTTAGGGTAAATGTTCTAAGTCATGGAAGACGGGGTAAATCTCCCTTATAAAATTAATTATAACGTTTTTATTGTGCATTTAATGTAAGGTGATAAGACTGTTTCTTCAGAGATGCTATTTGATTATTTAAACAAATATTTTCATAGAAGCTTTTTAAAGTTTTCGTGGTAAGATCGTGTCTTGTAAATAGAACCTACCCACTCTCTATCTCAGACAGCTTAAAGGTAAAAATATACTTTTTTGTTTCTCCACGTAAAACAAAAACAAGTTAGAGAAACAGCGAAATATTCCATTGTTTGCTTTATCTGCGCGTGTTTATCGTTTTCCGGTGTGCGGATGTTTTTATCATTTATTGTCTCAGGTTCGGGAATCGCTATCTTTAACGATCCTTACAAGCTGTTGGTTTGTCGTTTCTGTTAGGCCTACGGTGTTTCTCTCGTATTGATTAGATCTGTAACACTGCCTTCTACCAGGATGGTATTTTTTTCCCGTTCGTAGCACGGGCTGTTGCACCGATGTGTATAACATTCCTTTCTCCACTTCTACCGTCTTTACAATACAGGATAAATCCTATATCTCCTAACCCCCTCAATACCTGTCACAACAAGAACATCCGCAGTTAGTTGCCTCCTCCCCTCCCCCTCCCGCAAGCTTCCTTCCGTCCTCAGACAAACTATAAAACAATGACAGCACGGTCTCTAAACTGTTCTTTTGTCGCAGAGAAAACCACTATAACTACTTGTTATCTGTCGCGTTAATCTCAGAACAACATGGCGGCCTACAACCACCGATCTACTGTACTAGAGGGCTCATGTAGGCTACTTGTCCCCGCGAGCTGTGAATCCCTGGCGGCCTGTGCTTGTCTAAGGACCGGCGTTCCTCACCTTTAACTAGGACCAAACGTCGTTTGTTACTCATTGGTTATAAAAATACAAAAAAGTCGTTCTCCAAACTAGCAACAGCTCTACGAAATGTAGAGAGATTTCTTTCCACTTTATTTTCTATGTCATTTCAATCTTTTTTTTTTCAATCCTTTAGTTTATAAATTGCATGATTATAAAACAAACGAAGTTTGATATTTTGGGGCTTATTCGTCCAAACAAATTGGTTTCATTGTGATCGAGCAGAAGAGGTTTTAATATCAAACATATACATAAGATGAAAACAGGTCTTGTAATTGTTACAGAAAAAAAAGCCCCCACCCCAGTGGCACAGCGGTATGTCTACGGACTTACAACGCTAGAATCCGGGTTTCGATACCCGTGGTGGCAGAGCACAGATAGCCCATTGTGTAGCTTTGTGCTTGATTACTGTCATGATTAGCTTAAGTCATCTTCATACCATGGTCATCTTTCATAGTGTTTATCATGATTAGCTTAAGTCATCTTCATACCATGGTCATCTTTCATAGTGTTTATCAGGATTAGCTTAAGTCATCTTCATACCATGGTCATCTTTCATAGTGTTTATCATGATTAGCTTAAGTCATCTTCATACCATGGTCATCTTTCATAGTGTTTATCATGATTAGCTTAAGTCATCTTCATACCATGGTCATCTTTCATAGTGTTTATCAGGATTAGCTTAAGTCTATAGTAATCCTTCAAGGACTAGCTCAAATCAGTTACGTTCATACTAAACTTAGTTTTATTCTACAGTATCTATACCATGCATAAGTAGTTTGTGTCTGCAATGTCACAACTCGTTTCCCTAATTTTCAACAATTTCAGAACTAATTTTGCAAATTTGTTTCACAGTGCAGAATCAGAACTAATTATCCTAGTTTTATACACAGTGTCAGAACTAGTTGTCATAGTTTTTACACGATGTCAGAACCAGTTGTCTTAGTTTTTACACAATGTCAGAACTAGTTGTCTTAGTTTTTACACAATGTCAGCACTAGTTGTCTTAGTTTTAACACAATGTCAGAACCAGTTGTCATAGTTTTTACACAATGTCAGAACCAGTTGTCTTAGTTTTTACACAATGTCAGCACTAGTTGTCTTAGTTTTTACACGATGTCAGAACCAGTTGTCATAGTTTTTACACAATGTCAGAACCAGTTGTCTTAGTTTTTACACAATGTCAGCACTAGTTGTCTTAGTTTTTACACGATGTCAGAACCAGTTGTCATAGTTTTT